GATTTGGGCCAAGAACCTAGCGAAGACTTGGTTCCGAGAGGACAAGAGACAAACATATGACCAACGGGTTGATGCGTCTATAAGGACCATGAAGTACCGGAATGGTCCGGAAGATGGATGTATAGGTCCACAGATATCGCCCTGGATTCTTTCTAGGAAATGAAGTGTTTGTTTAGAGATTTTAACTGGTGAAGGCCGAGTGATCAATTTGCCTTGAGAACAAGCTGTGCACATGAGGTGTTGAGGATAAGCTCGGTTTTCTTTGAGGGTATGCCCTTGAGAGTTTTGAATTAGTTTACGCATCATATTTGCACCGGGATGACCGAGCCGGTCGTACCAAATAGTATAATCAGTAAACCGGGCTTTGAGAGTGGTATTAGCTTCAATCATACTGACTTTAGCATGGTAAAGTCCAGTAGAGAGCGCGGGTATGGTTTCGAGGATTTGTTTATGGCCGTCTACGGTTTTAGTGACTAGGAGGGATTCTTTGTTCCCTTGACCTTGGGTTTCTATGTGGAAACCATTCTGTCTTATATCCTTGAAGCTCAGAAGATTTCTCTTCGAACTAGGAGAATATAGAGCATCTGGTATTTCAAGTTGTGTGCCATTTGATAGCAACACATAGGCATAGCCATATCCTTCGATAAGGTTTGAGGGACCCGCGATGGTGCTAATATTTGCGGTTTGATAGGTTAGGTTTATGAAGTAACTTTTGTTTCTTAAGATAGTGTGGCTGGATCCACTATCTACGACTATGGTTTCCATTTGCTGGTGTGCTTTATTATGAATAGAAGATAGAATTCAGTATTGAGGAATTCAGAAAATGTGATAAATCATAAAGTAAAGCAGTGTCTGAGAATAAAGGCAAATGGAAAAAAAAATGAAACAAATCCCAAAATGAAAAAAAATAAAGAACAAAATCAAATTGTATCAGAGTTTCAGATGATTGAATTAATCGAGGAGATCAGCTGTTTCATAGTCCATGGGGTCGGTCTGCTCGTTTGTGGTGTTCTCATCATCAAGGAGGTCGTCACCTTCCAGGTTAGCAGCATCGACTGGCTGAGTCATGTTGGCTTCAACAGGAGCTTTTCCGTACTTCTGGTATAGATCGCAGTGGATCTTGGGGGTGCGACATTGCTTTGTTGGGTGGTTGAACATCCCACATCTGGTACAAGCAGAGTGATCGGGGTTGGTGTGGCGGGTCGGCTTGGTGATGCCTCGACCACGACCAGGACCATAACTGAGGTTAGGTCGGTTGCCACGACCATGTCCGCGTCCACGTCTTCCACGTCCATGTCCTCGGCCATTACCACGTCCATTACCACGTCCACGGCGGTGATATGAGGATCTATCGGGTTGAACATGGTAGGACTCTTGACGAGAAGCTGGGACAGGAGCCGATCCCGGGGGCCTCATAGCGCTGTTCCTCATAAGCAGCTGGTTATTCTTCTCAGCGAGGAGAAGACAGGACAACAAGTCTTCGTACAATGTGTGTTTCATTGCACGGTATTGTTGTTGGAGCACAACATTCTCTGTGCTGAATGTGGATAATGTTTTCTCGAGGAGATCATTATCTGTCACATCCTCGCCACAGAGTTTCCGGATGGCAACAATACGAAAGAGTTCGTTGTTGTAATCATCTACGGATTTGTAGTCCTGGAACCGAAGGTTCTTCCAGTCGAAATCTGCCTGAGGCAACTGGACCATTTTCTGATGGTCATATCGCTTTTTCAGCGCTTGCCACAATTCAAGTGGATTCTCAAGAGTGAGATATTGCTGCTTAAGGCTCGAGGCCAGATGATGGCGTATGTGACATATCGCCTGAGACTGTCCCTTACGGGATGCGGTGTTACCGTCGGTAATACACGCATCGAGTTCTTTCGATGCAAGGAACAAGCGCATGTCTAGGGCCCACTCGAGGTAGTTATCCCCGGAGACGTGAAGGGCCTCGAATTCACATTTCTGAATGTTTGACATCTGAAACATGAGATTGATTTTGTTAGGGATTGTTTTGAGAAAATTTTGAATGCTGATGATGAAACTTTCTATTTTGAGAATATTTCTATTTTAGGAAAGTTTCTAAATTTGGAAAGTTTCTAATTTGGGTAATTTTCTAAATGAGGAAAGTTTCTATGTCGGGAAAATTTCTATATGAGGAAAGTTTTTATATGAGGAAACTTTCTATTAGAGGGAACTTTCTCGGAAATAGTAAATTTTAAAGGGTATGGTTTTAGTTACCCCGAACATGATGTCGGTTTAATAGCTGTGATTTAATCGGTTAAAGCCGAATATAATTTCGGTTAATGAGAACCAGGTTTAGCCGGTTTTAGGCGATTTAGGAGGAACCCTAGGGGAGCCGAATATGATTAGGGTTTTATCTAGGGTTTTAACGGTTTGGAAAACATATTTTGGATGTGATTTCGAGATCTATAGGATCTGTGGTCGATGGTTTTAATAATTTCACAAGGACAACAAAGAAATCACGTGAAAAGGACTAGGGTTTAAGCATTATGACTTACGATTTTGAAGATTACAAAATCGTGAATCAAGCTTAGGATTTAGGGTTGATTTTCTTAGTTTATTCAATCAAGTGTTTCAAGCAAGAGAATCAACAATCAAATAAGCTGCAACAAGCTTATTAAACATGAAGAAAATCGAATAGGTTTATGCCATAAACATGGCCAAAAACAGTTGTTAGGTTTTTATAGATTATGGTTTTATAAAACGAGTTTAAAACCTTTGAACATGCATAAACTTGTAATTTAAACAATCAATCAACAAGTTATCAATCAATCATCAGAGTATCAAACACTTTCAATCAATTAGAGATCGATTTTTTTTTTTTTTTTTTTTTATAGGGTTTTGAAGTGTTTAAACAACAGGTTCTATGGCTCTCAGTTTTAGAAGATACCTTTTCCACCTTTGGATTTCTGACAGGCTAATGAAACTGGGAGCTAATAGACCTCAGTTAGCCGCTACAAATTCCAAGGATTGATCACCAAAACTGGAGAAGCTGCTGGTTGAAGAAGGAAAAACTCGGATCTGGTTTTTTTTTTTTTTTCGGTTGATCGTCGTGTACTGTAAGTGTGCGTGAGGGCGCGTCCGACGTTGGATCGACAAACGGTTTTCACCAGTAGATTCGTCTCGTCGAGGGCTTCGATTTGATATGTAGATCGTCTTCTGGTTCCTCACGGTTTGGAAGATATGCGTCTTTTAAGTTTCGACTTGCTTTTAGGGTTTTGGTGGTGGCCGGATTTATTAGGGTTTTTCGCTCAGAGAGTCTTATCGTGCTGATAACGTGTTGTGAAAACTTAGAAACTTTATTAATCACTGGAATGTATATATAGAGTACATAGGGAATCTAGGTTAAGTACAATGCCCTGATGGGCCTAATGGGCCGGTATAAGAGTCCATATATGATATGTGTTATAACATAATTGTCTTTATTATAAGACTTTTTGGAATTTTGTCACTTTTAAACTTAATTAGATTAAAGATTACATTATTTGCAAAAATTCAAATTTAATGTTTATGTTTTTTTTTTTAAATTCGAAAATACCAAATAAGGAAATAAATTAATTCTCGAAAATCAGTTATGGAAAGTTATAATTTAAAAAATATTATTTTCTACAATACGTAGAAAACGTATTCTACAATACGTAGAAAACGTATTCTACATTCTAGAATATGTTTTCTAAATATTCTTTTACAATCTACGAAATCTAGAATCGATGTTCTATATGTTTTTCTTCATTCTATGATACTTATAGAATATGTATTTTACAGATTCTTCATCGTTATACAGCTTATGGAATATATATTCTACATTTTTCACTACGTTCTACATTTTACTAGAAAGTATATTCTACAGATATTTATTTGTTCTACGTAATGTGGAAAATGTATTCTACGAATTTGTTAAAAGAATCTGAGAAAATCTAGGCTTTATGTGCTTAACCACCAAAGAGAATATATCCAAATATTTATTTTCCATTTCTTCTTCCAGTTCTTTTGCGATGAACCCTAAAAAGAAGAGAAGATGAGAGTTGGAGAAATTACTGAATTAGAAGCACATAATGTTGGATTTGTTTTATCGAGTCTTTGCTTCCGTAAGTTTAGGAATAAAAGAGACTTGTTCTCTTTAGTTTGTTTCAGTCAATTTCGTGTTTGCGTCAAACTAGCTTAGTAGTTGAGCTAGTGGAGTCGTGTCCTTGATTTTAGTTGCTTCGGTTATTTGCTTTAGTTATTGTAAAACTATAAAACGCATTGAGACGTGATGAATAAACTCAGATCATTTCAGTGCAATATTGTGTCTTCTCTGAATTTACAATTGGTGTCAGAGCAAAACACAATCTTAAAGTGATCAAAGTAAGAAAAGAGAGAACAGAAACAAAAAGATGAGTGAAGACAAAACGCTTACGAAGATTCCTCGTTTTGATGGTCATTACGACCATTGGAGCGAGCTAATGGAAAATCTCTTACGAGCAAAGGGGTCGATACAGCAAAATAGAGAAGCAGGGAGGCAAAGACGCGACTAGGGAGAAGAAAATTGTCGTTGTAGAAATTTTTGTCGAAGAAGTCTTTTTTATTTACCGAAATTAATCAGTATTTTTTTTAAAAAAATTGTTTTTGTTTTTTCCTATTTTTGCAGAATTTTATGAAAATAAACAAAATTTAGTAGAATAAAAATTAAAGATAATTTTAGATTTTAATTAAAATAAATAATGTATAAACCAATAAATTCTAAAAAAACAAATGGTTTGGGAAATTATTCTAAATTTTTAATTTTTTCATTTCTTTAATAACAAATTTCAAATATGTGACAGTATCTTCGTTGTCATTTACTAATTCAATTCTTTTTTTTTTTTTGTCACAAATTCAATTCATTAATGATAATTAGACAGATATGGACACATCTAATAAAGCGTAATCCTGGTAAAGCTTTTACGAATCGTCGTTTCCCTCTATTCTCTTCCTGTCCTTTTCAAGCGCGAGAGAATTTCACAATCAAAGAGAACAAAACAATAGGAGGAGAAAAGAGGAGGCTTTACCTACCAAAACGCCAGTCACTTCCGATTTCTTCTTCGAAATCTCTTAAATTTCTTCTGAGGATTCACTTCTCTGTTGGGTATTTGCACAATCCGTAAAAGATTCTTCCTTTCGCCTTTAAATCGGTCAGTGATAATCTTTTCTTCATCCCATTTTGCTCTTTGTTATGTGCTCCAATTATGAGCTTCTTCTGACTCGATTGGAGTAAAAAGGGAGATTTTTTTTTTGCAGTTAGTCCTCTTTCGATTGTTTAGATAGTTATTGAATCATATCAAATCTTCATTTGTGTTGGATTGTCTCAGTCTCTGCTGCCTTTTACTCAAAGGCGTCTCTGTAAGTTTCATCGCAAGCCATCATCATCTATTTCAAACATCTCCAAGGTTTTGATTTCCACCATGGCAACTACTCTTAATGGCAACGACAACACCATGGCTCCAGAGCCTCGAAGGACTTACCAAGTTGTGGTAGCTGCAACCAAACAAATGGGTATCGGTAAAGACGGTAAATTGCCTTGGAATCTGCCTACTGATCTCAAGTTCTTCAAGGACATAACTCTGACCACGTCCGATCCCGCTAAGAAAAACGCTGTTTTGATGGGTAGAAAAACGTGGGAGTCTATTCCGGCTAAGCACCGGCCGCTCTCGGGCCGGCTTAACGTTGTTCTAACTCGTTCTGGAGGTTTTGATATAGCCAACACTGAGAATGTTGTGACTTGCAGTAGTGTAGACTCTGCTCTTGACTTGTTAGCTGCGCCGCCTTATTGTTTGTCTATTGAGAGGGTGTTTGTTATAGGAGGTGGTGATATATTGAGGTAAATGTGTTGATTTCTCATCTCCTTTTTGGTGATTTTCAATCTAGTTGTTGTAAACTAAGTAACTGTTTATTGTTTGTATTTGTGTAGGGAAGCATTGAACAGTCCTAGTTGTGATGCTATCCACTTAACTGAGATTGATACTAGTATTGACTGTGATACGTTTATACCTGCGGTCGACACTTCTGTTTATCAGCCTTGGTCGTCGTCGCTTCCAAGAAGTGAAAATGGACTTCGATTTTGCTTCACGAGTTATGTCCGTGTAAAAAGTTCTGCTGAAGAATCCTCTGATGAAAGCAATGGGTCACAGTCTCTTCAGTTTGATGGGAAGAAGTTCTTGTTTCTTCCTAAGATGATTTTCGATCAGCATGAGGAGTTCCGGTATTTGAATCTCGTTGAAGATATCATCTCAAATGGCAACTTGAAGAATGATAGGACCGGGACTGGTACATTATCAAAATTTGGTTGCCAGGTGATGTAAAGAACTCTTTTTTTATACGTGTTCAGTTTTTCTCTGGTTGGTTGTTGATGGTTAAACAATCTCACATTTCCTTGTAATACAGATGAAATTCAATTTACGCCGAAGTTTTCCACTTCTAACAACAAAGGTATGCTCACTATTCCTTGACTTTCCACCTTTTACTTGGATAGAGAGAAAGTTTTGTCGTTGTTCATATTTTCAATCTCACGCAGTATGATTGCATCTTATGTGTAGAGAGTTTTCTGGAGAGGTGTTGTTGAGGAACTTCTATGGTTCATAAGCGGCTCAACCAATGCAAAGGTAAAATAACAGATAATTTATTACAATGATTGAGCCAAGGCCGTCTCTGCTATGCTTTGAAACTATGAAAATGAATTAGATAGTTCTTTGAGAGTCTTGTATACATTGGCAGGTCCTTCAAGAAAAAGGTATCCATATTTGGGATGGGAATGCGTCAAGAGAGTATCTCGATGGGTAAGATATTTAACTGCCATTATCTGTTTGGGAAATGAGACGGCCTTCTCGCTGTTAAAATCCACTGTAATTTCAGTATCGGCCTGTCGGAAAGAGAGGAAGGTGACCTTGGACCTGTATACGGATTTCAGTGGAGACACTTTGGTGCTAAGTCAGTAACATTTTCTATGGATCTCTTTGCTTTTCTTCTCTGTTTGGCTGGATTTCTTTTGGTGAAAACATCTTTATCTCGTTTTACAGGTACACAAATATGCATGCTAATTATACTGGCCAAGGAGTTGATCAACTCGCTGATGTAATCGACAAGATTAAGAACAATCCTGATGATCGACGTATTATAATGTCGGCTTGGAATCCTTCTGATCTCAAGTTGATGGCACTTCCTCCATGCCATATGTTTGCACAGGTAATTTCCACTTTAACTATGTTCTCATTCTTTTGTTTTCTTGCGATGACTTTGATTTCTTTTTCTTCTTTTCTTTGCAGTTCTATGTGGCAGAAGGAGAGCTCTCATGTCAAATGTATCAGCGTTCTGCGGACATGGGCCTTGGTGTGCCGTTTAACATTGCTTCCTACTCTCTTCTTACTTGCATGCTAGCTCACGTGTGTGATCTTGTTCCTGGTGATTTTATCCATGTTATTGGGGATGCTCATGTGTACCGTACTCATGTGAGGCCTCTGCAAGAGCAACTTCAGAATCCACCAAAGCCTTTTCCTGTAAGTATCGCTAACAATGATGGTCGAGGAATGCTTAGTCATGTAACTTTATCGTGTTTTTGTTTTCGCTATGGGCTCACTACTGCAGGTTTTGAAGATAAAGCAAGAGAAGAAACACATTGACTCTTTTGTGGCTGCTGACTTTGAACTCATAGGCTATGATCCACACAAGAAGATAGAGATGAAAATGGCCGTTTAGAGCCCATCTAAAGTGATTGATGAGACTAAAAGCAGACAAATTTGATTGTGCTGATTCCATTGACAGAAAGCTTTCTTTTTTCATGTACTTTAGGGGATGTAAAGTGTATAATTGAATCAGATGAGTGGCCCTCAACGTCTGGACTTGAACACATTTTTGTCGGTGATAACTTACCACTGATAAATGTGTTGGGATCCTTTAGTTCCACAGGGTTCTAAGGCGATTTAGGGGTTTATACTTCATGAATCATGACCATACTCTTTTGCTTGATGTGAGTTTCCTCTCTGAAATCTCTTAGCTCGATCTTACTATCCTTATCTTTTTAGTTCTTCTTTGGAATATTCTTAGTTTTTAGCTCAAGAGGAAGACTATGTATTGATGCCTGAAAATCCCTGGCAAATCTAAAATTTTCAAGTCTTTGAAGACTTGCTAAAGCTAATTGACACAAATACAAAAGTTCTCTTTTATTTCGTGCAAAAATGTAAGCCTCTGCTTGTGTTCGTCATATAAAAATATAAAACTTTACATACAAATATAATGTCTCTCTAAATATGTTAGAGAAACAAGAGCAATTCCCTAAAATCTTTGGACCATTAGACCAACAAAATAACAAATATATGGATCCTAAAATGGATTATGAGTATATTACTCTATAGAGTAAGGCCATATACTTTAAAAAAACGTGCTAATTTTGCAAAGTTATGGCTCTTAATTTCTGCACCACACAAAAGTTTGTTGCTCTGCAAAATCGTCTTTATGGTCGCTTTTATGGCTCTTATACGTGTCCACGTTTTGTGGAAAACGTGATTTGATAGTTGGGAGATATCTTATCAATAACTGATTTTCACATTCATGTAAACTTGTAAAAAAATGCTTAGAAGAGGAAGAAGAAGTATGAGTTAACCCCATGGTGTAATAAACTCCTAACTCAAGGTTTAACTCTTAACTATGGTTAAATACATGTTAATTCAATTACACTCTAACCTTATAAATGCCCTTTATTAGAGTTGGTTGGTTTTAGCAAGATCAAGCAAGACCTAAAACAGAGACATGGCAAATGATCTTGTGAAGCTTGCTTTCATTTTCGTAATTGGTTTGAGTGTTATCTCTTCTTCTATAGGTACCATATCAAACTTCTTATCTTAGAAACATATCAACATCATTTTTTTGTAACTATATCATTGCTATTAACGTTTTCACTATGCATTTATATAGATGTAACCAAAGCTGAGATAGTCCAGAAGCAAGAAATGAAACCTCTTTCGGAGGCTGAAATTGGTTTGGCTACTTATGAGGAAGTGCAAGCGCCATCTAGACGATATGGACCTTTTATCCGGCAGCCTATCTTCTCGACTCGAGGTAACTAGAGCTTGATCTGATATGTTCAAACTTGTCTAACCAAAATATTTACATTTTTATATGATTTAACATTTAAGATTCCCCAGTAAGAAGCTCGGAGGTGAATCCTATATGCTCCACTAGAATCATTGTTATGATATGCGACATTGAATGCGGTTATGCATGTAAGGGGACTGGCTATGATTATGGTGAATGTGAGGGAACTTTTCCAGACCAAAACTGCTACTGTTATGGGCAGTGTAAGCGGTAGATGAAGGCTGCTTGTATGTGGTCATCATCATAAATGTCAATAAGTTATATATATATGTTTGTATGTGTATGTTTTTATAATTATTGTGTGTATGTGTACGTATGTTATGCATGAGAATAAAGAAGCTCACCGGCTTAATGTAGTCTTTTTAGATATTGCAATGAACGATGGGAATTTAGGGGTATAAGTCTATTATACCCCAAACTATAAGTTGCCAAATAATCATCTAAATAAATGTGTTAGGGTCCTATATTATTGAATTGCTCTGTCGAATATCCCTTCCACCTCATCTCTTATTTCTCTTCTTTTTCTCTACTCTTATATATTTTCCAAAACAAATAATATCCCTCAAATATATTTCAATCTTTTGTTTATTGCTCCTAACCGGACCATTATGGTAGGCTAGAGTCAAATAAAAAACAAATTGTAAATTATTTTTATATTAATTGTTATTTTTCTTAAATTTTTAACTCGAAATTAATTGGCAATTGTGAATTGACTCAAGTCCTTTATATATTACCCAAAATCTTTTCCAATTTTTAATATGAGATATTTCTCACACACTCTTCATATAATTTCTATTTAATCCCTCTATATAATGATTTTTCTAACCATTAATCTAGACAGATCATCAATCCTTGGGTCCAAAGTCATTCGGATCACTATGGGACGGATTACGAAAGTGTGCAAATCTAGTTTTGATACAATATTAATTTTTTAAAACTAAATATATTGATAAATATCCATAATCTTTAAGACTTTCCTTGATTTTTACGATTTCTATATGTCGATCTCATCAATCTTCCAATGAAAAATATTGAACAAACAAAAGGATAACTAGTTTTTAAAAAAATCCGGTCAGATTGGAATAACAAAAGAAAAAACAATCGCTCTCTCTCCCACAAAAATTTTAGAGAGAGAGAGAAGGGAGAGAGCACCCCACTTTTAGATGCCACCAGGTTTCACTTTTTGGAATTGTGAATGCTCAACTTTGCTTTCTATAAATTTCGGTTTCCAATGAAATGGGCTGAATTATTTATTGGGTTATGAAGAAAAAAGTTCAAAAACAGGTCCAAGAAGTGCTCCATAAAAAAATTGTATTACTTTTTGTTTGATTGTATTTCTTTTTGTTTGATGTCGTTTTAGAAAAATCTATAAAAGTTGAGTTTTTGTTGTTATTAACTTAGCCTGAAGATGTATGCAATGAATTTAACATGTTAAAAAAATGCATTACGATGAAGCATGACATTCAATGTACGGAAAGATTGAAATAAACAACCAAAAAAGATTTTCTTTCGTGTATCTGAAGTGTAAACTTTCTCATTTTACTATTGTATTCTCGCAAGCTTAACGATGATTTTTAGTTTTATTCTTTTAACAGTCTACTCTAAGATGAAACGCTTAAAAGTTATTAGTATTATAACACTTAGACGGTTAAAATGGTCCATACAAAATAGTTTTCTTCAGTAACTCTAAGATTGACTTTTAAGTGAGTTTTTGAAACTTTCGAGAGAGGTTTCTAGAGGCTTTGGGATTAGAGTTAATGAAGAAGACTATTTTCCTATGGACCATTTTTATGTGTTGATATATCCCATCTAGTATTACTATTATGTCCCTTCATGTATGAAACCCAAAAACTGATAAGAATAGTTCACTAGATGGCAGATTAAATTTTACGCATACCAAATATATCAACACATATAATTGCTTCGTCAACACTAAATAAAAACGAAAAATTAAATCATATATGTGTAAATAGAAATAGCGCCACATAGGTGGTTTAAGGGTTGCGTTTTTAACGCATTCTAACCCCTTATTTTTATATTTTTATTGAGCTTTTAGTCTTTTATCGAACTTTTTCTAAGTTGTAGGTCAGTTTAAAGGAAAATGAGGCATTTTGGGAAAAAATGAGCATCTAAAGATGCAGAATCATGCAGTGCTGTCATAAGTTTGGCGTTTAGTACTTTCACTGATGGATTGAGCTCAAATTTTGATATAAGATAGGTCAGTGAATTAGCTTCATATAGAAGTGATTTAACGTCATTCCAAATGTGCGATCAAAAGTTAATTTAGTTTTTGTGAAGACAGTCCAGTCTGGCGATCTACAGGAGCAACTCGACCAATGCAAGAAACATGGATCGATTTGACATTATATGCCGATTTTCCTATTTCGACCCAGATTAACCTAATTTTGATCGGGACAATCCAAAAACTATTTATACATGTTTTTAGCTTTTTTTTAGGTTATACTATATTTTCTATTCAGACTTTAACTTTGTGGGCACTTTGTAAGTTTTGGAGAGACGATCTTTGACTCTACATCTCTTGAGAAGAATTATGAATCCTTTTTGAATTTCTATTTTATTTGATCATGAGTTTATCTTCATCTTCACTAGATAGGAAGATTCCCCGAGTAGTTTTATAGTTAGGTTTAGGGTTTTAAAGGGATCTATGAATCACTGAATTAGACATAGATTATCTTTCGTTGTCTTTGCTTATTATTGTGTTCATTTCTTAGGCTAAATTGATCACTTAGTCTTTGATCTAGGGTTTAATTTATTCATCAAAAGTGTTATAGATTACTGGAAAGAACATATGTGAGCGAATTGTCCTTATCCGATGAAAGCTAATGCTAAGGCATTTGTGAACATAACAAACCAATTGTTAATGCTGGTTTAGAATTCTAAGTTCAAACAATAGTTTAGATACTTAGGTTGATGGATTTAGTAATCAGTACCACGACAGTGGATTGGTTAAATATTTATGGTTGAGTTCGAGATTTAGTCGTTTCCTAAATTGTTCTCTGGTTCATGAACTCTAGAATCCTTGCTCCGGATTCGATCCTATTTTATTACTGTGATAGTCTTTTTTTTTTTTTTGTAGTCTTTTATTTGGGTTATTAATCTTGAAGTGTTTCAGTGGTAACCATAGGTTGTTAGATAACCGATTAAATCTCGGTGGCCAATCCATCACTAATCCATCGTTCTGATTTCTGAAGCAACGTCTATATACATATATCTACTATTTTGTTAAGTAAAATCGCAATGAGGTAACCGATTTACTATACATGGCAGTTAATTATTATTATTATTATTATTTTTTTTAAATGGTCAACAAGCAAATGATGGGACCAATGGTCATATATCCATCATATAGAGACCAATTTTACCTGGTAATGATGAATTTACTATATTGTGTTTTAGTTTTATTTCTTTACAATTAGTCAAAGTCGTATCTCATTCAAATCATTTTCTACCAAATTTATTAGATGCCAAATTATATTTAACATATAGTCAATCCTAAATTCAATTTCCTACCAAACTTACTAGATCATAAATATTGAATCAAATTTTCAAGAATTCATCTTTAGTCAAAATCTCAAGAAAAATAAATAGGTTCAACGTATCCGTTTTATTTTAGCTAGAATTGCATATTACCAACTAGCTATATAAAGACCTATTATAGCTCAACAAAATTCATCAACACCAAAACATAAAATATTTACAAAAGGTTATACAAACAAACAAAGACTTCAGAAAAAAGAAAAGAAAATGGACAAGATCAGATCTTTAGTTGTTTTTAGTACCATCGCAATAATTTTGTTGTTGGTCATTACAGGTTGATCAAAAGTTTTCATTATTATTACTTCTCAATTTTTGTAAATACTTTCTTGGCTATGTTTGTTCTTAGTTTTCACGTTGATTACAAGTGTGTATATATTACACATTACATTTCTTCTAACTAGTTTTTGCTATTTTGCAGAACAAACAAACGCCTACGGTGAAGATCACATCTGTATTGGTCGGTGCACTCCCACATGTACGGAGGAGTGCATGTCGCAAGATTACAGTACCGGGGATTGTAAACGTGTTGGAACATATATTGCTTGTTGCTGCGTGAAAAAAAAAAAGTAGATGTTATAAAGAAAAAGCTCAATTGAACAATTAAATTGTTTTCTACACACTCTTTAATTTAATTTGTATGATCACTAAGTACGAGCTTCAAATATAATAATTTTTTTAAGAATTCATAAGATATCCCTTTTCTTATTTTTACCATATGCACTACGTTAGAAATTTGTCTAATAATGTTTATTACGGTCCATGATGACATTGATCTTACTTGTTTGAGAAGAATCCATTGCAGTATGATATCAGATTTTATGTAATGAAGAATAACATATAGACAATTTTACAAAAGATAGTTCTACACATAAGACAAAGATCCACGACTGATAGATGGTTATGTCTGCACCATGTTCAAAATGAACATTTTCTCCTTAACACATGGGATCATGACAAACGGAATCATATGCACCATGCTAGATTTTTAGATAAATATGTGTTTATTAATATGCAATAGTTTACAACTCTAAAAATCGAATTAGCTTGGTATAGAAACACTTTCTCTTGATCAACTACAAGACCATAAGACTTCCCATATAGATAAATAGTGTCAATAGATTTGTCTTAAAATCAAAATTGCAAATATAAATTTTAAGTTTATTCATAGTTATTATTATGTCGGCTTGGAATCCTTCTGATCTCAAGTTGATGGCACTTCCTCCATGACATATGTTTGCAGAGGTAGTTTCCACTTAAACTATGTTCTCATTCTTTTGTTTTCTTGCAATGACTTTGATTTCTTTTTCCTCTTTTCTTTGCAGTTCTATGTGGCAGAAGGAGAGCTCTCATGTCAAATGTATCAGCGTTCTGCAGACATGGGCCTTGGTGTGCCATTTAACATTGCTTCCTACTCTCTTCTTACTTTCATGCTCGCTCACGTGTGCGATCTTGTTCCTGGTGATTTTATCCATGTTATTGGGGACACTCATGAGTACCGTACTCATGTTAAAGGCAAGAAAGAAACTTTGTAAAGAGGGAGATTGAAAACTAAAGTTTCATTTCATTATCGCTTAACCATTTACAAGAACATAAGTAAACTTTATACAATGTTGAAGAAAATCTAGAAGGTTCTATGTCTCGTGGACAGGTGTCGGAATCACGACACAGATATTGAATCCAACGGTTCGAACTGGTTTTCTATCTTGCATAGAAACACTCCTCTTGTACGATCGTTACTCTGCTTTTCCCTGTTTTTTTTTGCAGGTGAATGTTGGAGTTGATAAAGACAGCTTT